CTTCTCATAAGAGATTTCATCCTTGAAATTAATTTAATATTCGAATTTGTAATATGATAGGTATTACGACTTTTTGTGCTCCGTCACGTAACGAGTAAGCGTTCAAATCTGGATTGCGTTCTAAAAATCGTCTTTCTTTCATTTTTAGTGTTTTTTTTTTATTTTCGAAATAAACATGTTTTGTTCTGCTTTTACTTTTTATTTCTTCCAGGATAATTGATAGTTCGCGTATTACACTACATAATATATTTTTAATTTCTATTTCATTTTTTACCGCTGCAATAACAGTATCTTCAAACGATTCACTAATTTTTGGTATCAATCTTGATAAACCATCAGCAATTTTTTGGATGGCTGGTATTCCGTCTTGAAATTTTAATTTAATAAAATGTTATCCCAGCGCTGCAATTTATTCGCTGTATGCGTAGGAATTCTTTTTTCAAACCATAAATTGATAATAGAGGACGGTGGTCCGTCTGTAAACAAAAACTCATTCTGTGTAAATTTGTGAAGCATGTTCGACGGATTTTATGTTATCCTCATCATATTTATGTAGAATTACCACTCCTATACCATAGTCACTAGCATCCAAAGCCAATACGATTTCTGCTTTTGGATCGTAGTGTGCTAATGATAAGTCTGGCGTTAGTATTTTCTTGATTTCTTCAAACGCCTTCTGATATTTATCAGTCTAGTTCCACTTTACACTTTTTACATTTTTTGTTCAATGGAGCTCTCAAATTTCTGCATATTAGTTATATAGATTTGATAATAGTTCGCTAGTCCTAGAAATGAGGAGGCATATTTTTAATTGCACTTCCCCTCAGCGGATCTGGTGGAAGACCTTTTTTTATCAATGATATTTTTTCTTAATCATTTCACTCCATTCAAGGTTAGAATGCCGCTGGTACGCAGGGAGTTACAGAGAGAGAAGGTGGGAGAAAGGCCTGGATAAGAGGAACCGAAGGAAGGATAAAAGCTGAAATAGATTCAAGAAGATAGACGATGGCGATTGACTTTGCATTTAAATGCTTGAAGATTGTACTTATCAGAGAAGCAAGTAAGCGGAAGAGAGTTCCACAGGCGGGAAGTGCGAGAAAAGAAACTTTTGGAGTAGAAATGGTGGTTACAATTAACTAATTCAACAGTAAAAGAGTGGGACCTAGGTGACAGTAGCACACTTAAACTGACGCAGACCGGGCACCAGGGAAAAAAGGTTCGTCAGAAAAGTTGCCATGAAAATATTTGTAGAAAAGACAGAGAGAAGCCATGTCATGTTGGTGAGAAAGAGACTGAAGTCGAAATGCCATGTCAAGTATAATCTGAACTTGGTAATGGGTAGTTATGAGATTATACACATTTGTTTATACCTGTCGAAAAATCAGTACAAACATGAATTTTATAATTTTGTTTTCTTTATATACACTGCTGGTGCTGTCCATTTTGAATTGTCAATCTTTTCAATTACACTTATTATCTCAAGTTTGTCTAACTCTGCGTTGACTTGATCCGATGCTGCGAATAGTACACTTCGTTTCGGTTTAAACAATGGCGTCGGCCCTTTCCTCACTTGGAATTTCGTTTTAACTTTGTAACACCGACCTAACTTATTCGTCAAAACACCCGAAAAACATTCTTTTCAGTTCTTCCTTTAAATTTTCACACAGTTTTTTTTTAAACTGGTAGCTTGTCCCCCACTTACATTTTTGCAATAAATATTTATAGGTAAATCCCACAACGCAAATAATTCCATTCTGTCAGTATCGAATACGCTTGTAATATTTTAAACACACAAGCCTTAGCTTTTACACAATTTTTACGAAATGAAACGTTACAAGACATTTCACCAATAAAAAGTAATTTCTTATCCGACATTCCACGTACAATTTTCGAAGTTTTTTAAATGTAGGTTTTCCGTTTGCTTTCCATCTGTCTTCGTTAATTATTGTTATATCACTGCCAGTGTCTAGTTGCATTTTTCATCCACATTATTAATTTTCTCATACACAAATTTTCTTTGGTTTTCTGTAATTATTGTTTTTCGCTGTGTACGAAATTTTTCATGTGAGAACTTTTCCTTGATTTAGTTTTACAGTGTGACTTTTCCACACTTGTAGCACTTTGAATTCTTAAAGGGGCAGTTGCCTCCGAGATGTAACCTTCCACATCTGAAACATGGATTAATTTTTCTTTTTCCATATTTTTCTTTAGTCTGAATGCGCATTCTTTTTCTTTAGTTTCTTCTGTATCGCGTCTCAGATTTAGGATTCTATGACATTCATCAGATATTTCTTGTAGTATTAGTTTTTGATTCTGTTCAAGTCTCGTTAGAATCCTAGCCTGTATTTCTGCGTCTTTCTTTTTTTCTTTTTTTTTTTTTGCCGTTAACTCTTGAACGAAAATTAACCATTTAAGCATATCTGGAGTTGGTTCTTTTAATTTGAATCATTCATACTCCTTGTTAACAATTCCATCATATGTGACAAAAGTTTTGTTTTTTTCTCGTCTTCCCAGTCACTGCATTCTTCTCTAAAAATTTCTCGTATCTTCTCAAATAAGCAGGAAAGGTAATTACATTTTTTTAAATATATGTGAATTCAGCTATGACATTTGCCACCGCGTCGGGAATGAAAGAATTTGAGGAATTTTCTGTTTTCTTCTGTATTATTTAGATTAAATTTTGTTGTTGTTTCTGGAGTTTCAACAAATGCTGTTGTTGCTTTTATTGTTGTATTTTTATCACTTGGGATAATAATTCTTCCATATTTAAGGAATATCTGTTTATTTTTTCATTCTTTCTCTTTTTTTCTTTTTTACACACACCAAAGAAAAAAATTAAACAAACGTGGTTCTAATTTCTCATCGTCACTATTATGTGTGCTAAAGCAAAAAATACTCTATCCTACTTAGTATCAGTTTCGTTCCCTCGTCGCGACTGTTATAATTCGCTCTTAGCGGTTATAATATTGTCTCCCTTAGGCTACTCGTTGTGACGTCATTAGAAATTCTCCTCGACTGACTCCAGCGAACTCATATTTATCGGTTGCAACCCTGTGGACGAGATGCAGCACAAGTTCAAGTTTACTGTGGGGAACCCGAGCGTTTCCTCTCTTGTCACTAGTAAAAATTTACCCAGCCGCCGCAAAAGCTTGTCTGTTTTTCTCAGCCGGGTCTCTGTCCGAAGACAGAGCTTCAGTTGAGTCACCCTTCGCTCAGACAGTTATCTTGTCAGTAGCAAGCCAGTCAGCGAAGTGCCTGATTTCAACTTGTCTGTTTTTCCCACCCGGGCCACTGGTCAAAATTTACCCTGCCCCCGTCAAAGCGGACACAGATACAGTACTGGTCTGTTTTTCTCCCCCGAATCTCTATCTGAAGACAGAGATCCGACTGAGTTACCCTCTATCCGAAGATGGATGTCTTGTCTCCCTCTATCCGAAGGCAGAGCTATTGTTTTGTCGAGAGCCTGTTCCTGACTCTGACTGACTGGTATTTACTCGTCGCCCCACTGCGGGCTAGATGTGACACAAGATCGTTTTATGTGGGGAATCCGAGCGTTTCCACCCGAGCTCCTGGTCAAAATTTACCGAGTCCCCGCAAAAACGGGCTCAGGTACAGTACTTGTCTGTTTTACTCAACCCATTCTCTATCCGAAAACAGAGCCCCGACTGAGTCACCCTCTGTCCGAAGACAGAGGTCTTGTCTTGTCGAGAGCCTGTACTAGGTCAAGTTTACTGTTGGGAACACAAACGTTTCCGCTCGGGTCACTGGTCAAAATTTAAACAGCGCCCGCCAAAGTTTGTACGTGCCTGACTCTGACTGACTGGTATTTACTTGTCGCCCCACTGCGGGCGAGATGAAACACAAGTTCACGTTTTATGAGGGGAACCCGAGCATTTCCACCCGGGCCCCTGGTCAAAATCAAATCCCCCCACCCCCAGCACTAGTTTGTTTTTCTCAGCCGTCTCTATCCGAAGACAAAGCCCCGACTGAGTTAACCTCTTCCCGAAGACAGAGGTCTTGTCAGTAGCTAAGTCAGACAGCGAACTGCCTGACTCCAACTTGTCTGTTTTTTCTCAGCTGATTCTCTATTCGAATATAGAACCCCGACTGAGTCATCTTCCGCCCGAAGACAGATGTCTTGTTACCCTCTACTCGAAGACAGGGGTTTTGCCTTGTCGCGAGGCTAGGACTGACTCTAACTGACTTCTCTTGACTCACTTTGAGTTCTTTATTTCAGACGTCTTGCCTTGTTCATTTGTGTTACCGGGGGTGTCTAGGTGCCTATAGAAAGCATTTATTAAATTTAAATCTTTCTTTGTGATGAGATGTAATGGCTATCGTCGCGGAAAATTAAAGCTAATTCCTAAAGGGACATGACATTTTAAAAAAATCATTCTGACAAGTCCAAAATAAGGAGAAACCCAATAGAAAACCGTAATGATCTGCAAGGTTTTAATCGACACACTATGGTAGACTTTCCTATGATATTAATTTAGTTTAATTTGTGACAGGGTCACAGTAATGGGGAAACCAACGAGAACTCACTAAAATAACACTGAGACAAGGTTAGTAATCATCGGTTTAAAGTAGATATCATTTCCCAACTTCTGACACACGGTGAGACACAACCTTACTGCATTAGTCAATTGGTCTGCTAGATTCGCTTGCAAACAATTACTCTATGGTAGATGTTCCTTGTTGGCTTATGCATGTGTAAAGTCTGTATTGGCCTTCGTTTGCTGCTATATTAGCTAAACAAAATACAATGACAAAACCGTGGCAGGATGTGTGGCAAGACTTGCGTAACCGTTTAGAAGAATTGTGCTGTATCATGGAAATACGATAGTTTTATATAGAGAAACGTGTCAGAGTAAACGACGAAAAGAAGAAACAAGAAAAGTACAGAAATAGAAAAAGAAAATTCAAGAGCAAAAGAAAAATATGATTAAGAAAAGAAGAAATAACGGATAAATAGCATAGAAATGAAAGAAGGCGTTGAATTAAAAAGAAAAAGTTGGGGAGACAATAGAAGAAAAACATTTTCTTAAAATGTCAACCGAAACAAGAAAGAAGAAAAAAAAGAAAGAAAGAAAGAAAACGTGGTGAATCTGAAAAAGGGGAGAAGTAGCAGAAGACAAAGAAAGAAAGAATAAAGTAAGAAGTTTAAAATGATTCTTTGGAAATGATGAGAGGAGAAGAAAGAAAGAAAGAAGCAGAACATTTAAAAGTGATTCTTTGCAAAAGATGAGTGGGGGAGAAAGAAAAAAGAAAGAAGCAGATAATTTTAAACGATTCTTTGCAAAAGATGAGAAAGAATGAATGAAAGAAAGAAAGAAGCAGCTCATTTAAAAGCGATTCTTTGCAAATAATGAGACAAGGCGAAAAAAAGAAAGAAAGAAAGAGACCATTTAAAGTGGTTCTTTGAAAAAGATGAAAAAAGAAAGAAAGACTATTTAAAAGTGATATTTTGCAAAAGATTAGTGGGGATGAAAGAAAGAAAAAAGAAGGAAAGAAAGAAGCAAACCATTTAAAAATGATTCTTTGCAAAAGATGAGAGCAGGAGAAATAGTGGTAAACAAATAAAAAAAAAGTCAGTAAGAAAGAAAGGCAAGAGAACGGAAAAAATAAATCCATTTTATATGTAAGTGTGTTGGCCAGAAGAAAAGCCGCAAAGAAAAACACTGAAGAAAAAGAAAAAAGAAAAGAAAATAACATGAACAGAAAAATAGGGGAAATTACGTGCAGTCAAAGTAATGGAATATGAAGAGAAAAGATAAATGAACAGACGTCCTTGGAAAGAAAAAAAAAAGATTACAAAATATAAAAATAGAATGTTGAATGGCAAATGAAAGAGAAAAATAAATAAAGAAAGAAGGAAAGAAAGACAGAAAGAAAGACGAGTTACGATGTAAAGAAAAGAGTATAAGTTATAAGTGGGAATCAGAAAAATTGACTTGTAAGCAGTTATAAAAATGGATTGGGATGGGCTGTAAAAAGGAAAAAAGAAAGGTCAAGAGAAAGAAAAACATTACGCGACACAAGGGGCCTCAGCATGAAAAAAGTCGGACAGAAAGAAAGAATAAAATAAAATATTTGAAATAGACAAATAAATAAATAAGGCACAAAGGCTACAAATATTTCAAAAACTAATTTGGAAAGAACAAACGAACAAGCATGCCAAGAAAGAAAGAAAGGTAATGCATAAATAAGATCAAATGACAAAGAAATTAGTACAAAAAAAAGAAATAAAAATAAAAATTAAGAAATAGAAAACATTTGAAAGATGAACAAAGAAAGGGTAGCCTGGCTGTTGAAAAGTGGTTAGATAAACTACTCTTACAGATCATTATTACTGTAGTGAATTCTATCCAGAGTATTCCACACTTATAGCCTTACTTGCGTAAAGCGATGGTTAGCAAGCTCTTTTTTCTGAGATAGCCTATTTAATACTCGCGTGAAGCAGTGATTAGCAAATAAAAAAGAAATGAAAATTTTTAGTCGTGGGGAATGAAAGTGAAACAGAAGAAGAAGCTAAATTAGAAAGTGTGAAATGACGAGAAGAGAATCAAAAAAAAAAAAAAAAAAAAACGAAAGGAAGAGCGATAATTCGAAGAGAGAAAAATAGAAAAAAAGAAAGCAAATAAGAATTTGCAAGTATTCGAGGGAAGATAATGAAAGAAAAGGAAAGGAAAGCGAATAAGAGAGTATTATTTGAAGGCAGAAAAAATGAGAACGACAAAAGGGAAAGTGAATAAGTGTGAGTACTTTTTGGGAGATGAAAGAGAGAAACAGTATGATGAAGGAAAAAGAGAGAGAAGAAAGTAGGAGACAGTTTCAAAGAAGGAGAATGAAATAATAGAAATGCGAAGAAGAAAATATGAGAGTTTGAAGAAAGAAAGAAATAGAAATGAAATCTAAAAGAAAAATTGAGGGTTTATATAGTGAGGAGAAATAGAGAAATTGAGGGTTTATATAGGGAGGAGAAATAGAGAAAAGAAAGGAAAGCTAATAAGAAAAACTGAGCTTTTGAGGAGAGAAAGAATGGAGAAAAAAAGGTGTGACACTTTGTGGAAGAAAGAGAGAGAGTGAGGAAAATGTAGAAGAAGAAGTAACAGGAGATAAAACGAAAAATAAGACGTCGTGTTAATGCGTGTGCATTTGCGTACAAGTGTACTCGCATTTACCCAAGAGAAAACGAAAGCCTGTTTAGTTGATTAAGCTAGTTATGTATTCCTCATTGGCACCAGTTATTTTTGTGTTCCAGCCCAGGTAATAGCTGGACTTTTTAACATTCAGGCAGACCTTACCCTCTTGGAAAGTTGAGCCAACATAATATTTTTGCTCACTGTCCCCCTTTTAATGTTTTATACTTCATGAATCTGTACAGATTATGAGAAAAGAAGAAACAAAATTTTTAGAGTAAAAGAGAAGGATAATGAAGAAACAAAAAAGAAAAGAGAAAGAAGAAACAAGATCTATTTTGAAAAGAAATGAGAAGAAATTAAGAGAGAGAGAGAGAGATTGAGAATGTGCATGTAGTGTAAAGAGAAAAGTATAAATGTGAAAAGAAAAGTTACCAAAGGGAATGAAAAAAGGGAAAACAAACATATAAATAGACACGTGCATTTATAAACATATATATATATATATATATATATATATATACCACGCGCACAGACACACACAGAAAAATAAAAACAAGGGAAGGGAGAGAGAGAGAGAGAAATAAAAGAGGGATGGAGAGATATAAACGCCGGAGGGAGGAGTGGTAAAATTTTGAAAAATTGACTTTCATAATTTCTGATACTGAACCGCGTGTCAAATATCATATTCTTAAACTCATGATTATTAACTTTTCTAAGAAAGACCCATTTGAAAGAATCTGTTGCTAGTCATGGTAAGGCAGAAGAACTCGTTTTTCTCTGTATTGTCGTCGTTAGCACAAGAAATGTGCTCCCTAAGATTATTCATTCACCAAGTTTTCATAAATATAAAAGGGAACAAGCAATTCACGTTCAGCATTCCTCTTTAACACTGACACTTAGCTTTTCACCTTACTCTTGTGTATACTCTTACTCTTTCACCCGGGTGGAAGTCACGAGGACTTGGGGCTTTTTCGGAGATGGGTAGGTTGGAAGCTATCTGAAACTGCCTGAAAAGATAGCAACAGAGAAATAGAAACGGCAACAGTAATGAAAAAATATTGGGTAACATTTAGGATTTTCGGGGTTAGTATCCAAGACGGAAAATAATTTTTAAAGGGATAATCAGTTCAAAGCACACACACACACACACACACACACACACACGCATATATATATAGGGAGAGAGAGAGAGAGAGCGTCTGCAAAATTCTCACAACTGGAAAAATCTTTTCAACTGTGTATTGATACTTTAGCTTTCCAAAATCATTTCTGCGAATTTTTGCACATACCTGATATTTCACCACATGCAACACCGTAAAGACACTAAGGCACAAGAGCTTACTGGGTGTAAAAGTTTTAGGAAGCAAACATTATTAAGGTGCGAAAACAGGGAAACACCTTTACGGTGGTGGGAAAGTAACTGAAGCCGTGACACCAGGTCAAGACCATAATTTTGATGATTATTTTTCAGAGACACTAAGTTGAGAACTGATGCTATTAGGAAAGTCATTGATGAAAAATGAAGAACATAGTCCAAGAATAGATCCCTTAGGAACACTTGCATTAGTACAAAAAAAAAATCTAGAAGAGAGGCTATTCAGGACAACTTTCATTTCGCGATTTGACAAGAAAGACTGAATCAGTTAAAAAATTCGTTCGGAAATACCATAATTTTTCAACTTGAGAAGAAGACCAGTATGCTGTCGAACGCTTTCGAGATGTTAAAAGCTTCACCATTCTTATCATGATAAGAGAGTGAAGTGCCAAGGGAAACAGAATACGGGTAAAGAATAACAATCTGACCACACGCGTAGTAATAATAAAAATTTCGATTCGGTCAGCTGCATGAAAGCAGAAATAATCGAAATTCGGTTATCTTAAAAAACCGACGAAGAAGCCAGCCGTATGAACACAGACTTTTGATATGGTCGATGTCATTGCTTGTTCAAGCTGTCAACTACAGACTTTCTGTCACCGAGAACGGGCATCTGGAAATACGATCAAATTAAGACACAAGAAAAACAAAGGGATTTAGTCTCCAAATGGAAACGACCACCCAGTTAAAAATTGACTGGCGGTGGTTAATGAGTCGGCGAAAATTCCGCTAATGAATTCCAGGTGACCCCAGGATAAGATAAAAATTTAATGACCACAATATGCGGTCCATAAGAATTCTGGCCGATAGAAAGGAAAGAAAGAAAAGGGAAGATAATGTAAACTAATGCCAGTCTAGCCACACCCACACTGCCGAGCGTTCATTGGCTGAGTGGTGGCGTGAGTGATGGGCGAAGGTAAACATATGAGAAAGAAACTTGTTGACGCCCACTGAAGGGATTGGTATCAGATACCAATGTGAGAAAGGAAGAGTTTAGGAGGATACTTCTCCTCCGACCTCTCCTCACAGAAGGGGGAGAACCCCTCTAAAACAGAAAGTAATTGACTTCCAAAAATGGGAAGTGATAAATTTTCCTGTCCGAAGACAAAGAGAATCCTTATTGGGGATTTGGAATTATTGAAGAACCCAAACTATGACAGGGCCCAACCCAGTTTTGGTCGGCGTCTATATAGACGAACGTCCCCGGGCGTTCAGACAGTTCCCAGAGTAAGAGTTGGGTTGGAGATCGGAGATAGATCGACAGAATGCTGTTGGGCTTGGAGACCAGCCTCGCAGGAGCTGACCGAAAGATTTCCACGCCTTCCGACTTAGACTTCTAACCAAAAGCAATGAAGAACGACTTAGACTTACACCACCAAAGCAAGTTTTAATGAATATCGACTGAATATACAAAAAAAAGCAGTTTATTGAAAAACAACTTAAGATACCATAACTCGCTTAAGAAACGCCAAAAAGTGTCACGAATCCATAGAAGCGGTTTGGGAGGAATACGCACTTCTGTATTCAGCAGAAAGATATAAAGATACTTGCTATGTCTCAACACATTTGAACCTGAGTTTGAGTTTGTTTCATTATTTTTCTTTTACATACACTTGTGCGGTATCACCTTTACCCCGGGTTCAGCTTGCACTACGGCCCGACGCCTGATTGATTTCGTCTACCAAAGATCAAATCACAACGTGGGTCGGTTAGACTAGAGATCAAAGCAGTTACTTCGGTAACCAGACGTTGGAGGCGAGCTGAGGACGACAAAGCTGATATCGAATCTAACCCGACATCGACCGCGACCAAGACAACCAGGGGTTAGTGTCACAAATGGTTCCGTAGTAAACCAAGTTTTTACCCAAACCAGCCGAGGGTTAGATCGTCACAAATGGTGCTGCAACCAGTGCAAGGTTAGAGAGTCACAATAGACTCAGCAATAATCGTTAATACATCAGCAGAAAGAAGCGAAAGCCATATTGCTTGCTTGAAAGAAGTTCCTGCGAAGTGAAATACTTAACCAATTCAGAGTTGAAAGACTCTAGTGCTTATATATATATATATATATATATATATATATATATATATATATATATATATATATGTATATATATATATATATAATATAATATTTTTTGTTCTGATGAGCTTTTTCGCCTGATGGCTCAACTACATAAATTTAAGCGTGTTACAAGATTTGCAACTAGGTATCACCGTTTCACTGTTGAACTAGCCAGATGTGACCTCTACTTCTATTCTACCAGTTTGTTTACTCACACTTCCTATCTGTGGAACTCCTGATTTCTTTCTTTCCTGCCACCTACAAGCTTCAAAATTTTAAATGCAACGTCAATCATCATCTTCTGTTCTTTTATTGGCTTTTTCTCACCCCCGCCTTACTAAAGTCTTTTCATTCTTTTTCACTCCCTGTAACCCAACTGCGTTCTAGTGTTATTATCGCCTTGCTTGGGGTGAAACGATTAAGAAAAATGCGCGTTTGTGTCAATGTGCGTGAGTCCTTAAAGTGTGCATGTATGTATGTGTGTGTGTCTATATATTTCAAAAAGGAAGTTCAGACTAATAATTGTTTATGTAATCAACTACACATACGCACAGTCACTCACGCGCACGCACGCACGCACTGGCTCTCAGTCTAATTTATATATATATATATATATATATATATAACGTCATACATTAAGAATTGGACAAAGTCCGACAATTTATTAAAGACATTTTTATGTTTAACATTTTTTTATAGATACAAGTATTTAAGTAAATGCTCTGTTTATAATAAACAGTATTAAATAACATTTGCCGGCCTGAATGTCCAAGGAATTTTCATAGAAAATATTCGTAGGCAAGGTCGAATTTACTGCTTATAAACTTACCGAACGCTCCTTTGTGGCCGAGTCGGTTAAGACACGTCAGCGTAAATGACAGTTCCGTATAGGATGCAGGTTCGAATCCTGTCAAAGGACGAATATTTTCTATGAAAATTTCTCGGACATTCAGGCCGGTTTATTTAATACTGTTTATTATAAACAGAGCATTTACTTAAATACTTGTATCTATAAAAAGAATTAAAACATAAACATAAAATATATATATATATATATATATATATATATATATATATATATTAATGTTCGACCTGAAGAGTGCAATTTTAATTAAAATATAACGTTATTAATCCGAAATGTACTGAAAGAGCACTAATTTCGGAAACAAATGAAATCTTCAATAGCGGGGATATACCGGAAGACCTCAGCACATCTATATTCATAGCTATACTTATGAAACTAGGCTCAAATGAATGCGAACTCCACCGAGCAATAAACCTAATGAACCACGTGACAAAACTCATCATCTATATTCTGATGAATGGAGCACGCAGCAGAATCAGACCAGATATCGGAACAGTGCGGGTTCGTTAAAGACACCGAAACAAGGAACGCAATATTCATGCTCAGAATGCTATCAGAAAAAGCGATACAAATGCAGAAGGACGTGTATCTATGTTTCATAGACTACACAAAGGCCTTCGACAAAGTACGCTACAAGGATCTGTTGGAACTGCTCAGCAACCTTGATATATTCGGCAAAAATATCAGAATAATCAAGAACCTATACTGGCAGCAAACAGCATGCATGCGC